TAATGCATCTAATGATTTGCACTAGACCAGAGCTTATGGATTAAGCAAGTGAAGTGCATACACGAGTAGTTAAAGACTAAGGCACTCGGTTGCCATTGTTAGAGTACTAAAGTACTTATGATATACTCGTATCGATGAGTTGCATTATACTAGATATCCAACTGTACATAGATGTAAACTGGATACCGGGTGCTGATGACTCAAACTGCACTAATGGCTATAGCTATGTTTTTATGCTAGTCTCAACATGCGTGTCTTGAAACTCCCTAAAGTATATACTCGTACCCAGGTTCATAATGGAATCCAATTTGTGTATGTCGGATAGTTGTGGGGGCTAAATAGTATACATAGTTTTGAATAGCCTTTAAAAAAAAATGGGGACGACTGTGCCACTAATCTATTGATTAGAGATGTAGAATGACACATGGTCAATTGTATAATAGTAAATCTAGACATTGTTTTGTCGTAGATACAGTACCATTATGCATATGCTCTCAACTATAGTTATCTTGATTGACTACGTGAAGTCGATAGATAACACTGCGGATCCGATAATCTGGGGGTTAAACAAAGGGATAGTTGAGAAAATGACAAAAGAAATGAGACAACCTAGAGAGTATAAAAGTCTTTTGAAGGAAAACCCAACCTAGTTGACTGGAGATACAGAGATCTAGGTTCAAAGGGACAACCTAATCTTAAGACTTAGTGTGGTCCTTGTGGGGGTAATCTCAACTCACTTGTCATAAAACAGTGATATAACGGATAAGGATAGCAAAATTTGCTTTAATGACTCTTAAGTGAGTAATATCATTTACTCTAGACTTATGAAGTCACCTATGCAAGAGAGAAGTGGGGCCGCTTCAAAGGAGAATTGGACAAGCTCAATTCTTTAGAAACTCTCGTAGAACCAGGACGTGTTCATGGCCAAAATGAACAAAACAATGAGAATAGAACAAAACGAAAATGGTTTCTGTGTATTGTATGAGGGTCTTTACACAATACAGCCGGACAGTTCAAGGACATCATGTCTACTAGACAGCTAGTAAGGCAAGCATACTTTATAAGGGGGAAGTTCAAAGGGTAACACCTACTTTCTCTTTGCAGGAATCAGTTGATGAACATAAAAAACCAGAAAAATTTTTATTCATGTGGGGGATTGTTGGAAATAAATTGAATATATGTGTGAATGAGAATTTGTTTCTCATACGGTTGGAAATTTAGACATGAGTGTCAAAGGGAATATGCGGCCTAATCAACCGCATTTTGTCATTCCAATTACTAAATGGAGAGATGTTACTTCCCATTGAATTTCTATATTCAATAGGAATGAATGTGTCATTTAATTCAATTTAAAGGCAAAACTGTTGTAATGGTTTTAACCATGAAGTCAGTGCATTTAATTGAATTAAAAATGCTTTAAGTGAATTGGGTCTCTCTCATCCTATATGTATTGTTTATTTTCAAGAATCCTAGACTAAGAAACATAGCCAACAATCTTCATTCATCCATTAGCCAAAGAATCCTCTTAGCCTACCTTGGTGTTCATCAAAAGTCTAGTTTCAGTTCGCTGGTGATTTTGTGTAGGTGCAAGACTAAAGATCATGTTATCCGTTGTATCCTGGGAGACAGGCACTCGTTAATCCTTTAGCACTCTGTCTAAGGGAGCGAATCTGTTTTGAGGAGAACGTGTCTTTACGTGCCTTAGAATTCTTTCTTATTTTCTTCAATTCTTGTTGCCATCATGAATACATCCCTCCACATTTTACCAACAACAAGCCCTTTCACAAAAAAAGAAGTGTGGGAAGCAAGTAAAAATATGTTACCATGGAAATCCCCGGGTCCAGATGGCATACCAGCAGACTTCTATCACATATTGGCAGGATATCAAAACAGAGGTAGTCCAAGCCATCTTAGAAGTCACTCAGAATGCGAAGTTACCTATGGAGTGGAATAAAAAAGACCTTGTCTTAATACCAAAAAATGCAAATACAACCTCACCAAATGATTTCTGACCGATTAGCCTCTGTAATGTGAAATATAAGGTAGTTAAAAAGATGATTACAAACATGCTTAAATCAATCATGAACAATCTGATTGATGATCATCAAAATGGCTTCATGCCAGGGTAGAACATTAGTGAGAATATCCTTATCGCACATGAGGCTATTGAATATATCAAGAAAAGGAAAGGCAAAGTTGGAGTTGCAGCAGTTAAGGAGGACATGAGCAAAGCATACAACATGATATCTTAGCAATTCCTAAAAGAAGTGCTGATTCAACTGAAATTTCCATTGCACTTAGTGGATTTAATTTAGCAGCGTGTCACTTCTGTCTCATACTCCATTCTGTTTAATGGAGAGCAATAAGCTTTCTTTACACCAAACAAGGGGCTCACGCAGGATTGTCCCTTATCACCATATTTATTCATCTTAAGTCAGCAAGCATTATCATTAGCCCTCAGATCAGAACTCAAGAGGCTGCCGGGATTGAGCATCAAAACTAGTAGTTCTGCTCCGAGGATAGTGCACCCCCCAAAATGAAACTCTTCATTTGGAGAGGTGTATATAATGCACTGCCAACTAAAGCATGACTTCACAAGAGAGGTGTTCTGGAGGACGTTCAATGCCCAAGATGTCAAACAGAACCTGAGGACGTTTCCCATCTCTTTTTGGAGTGTGATCACTCTAAAAGATTATGGAGAATATCGAGTTTAAGTTTTAACTTTGACACTGGCCAACCTACAGTTTTAAAGGATTAGTTTCTGGATAGGCTGAGAACTGCTCCAGACGATGAATCGATAGCCTTGTCAATATTCATACTTTGGGGAATTTGAATGCGCAGGAACAACAAAGTCTGGCGGGATCAACAAGGAGACGTATTTGAGACATGTAATTGGATTTCACAGGGCTTTGCCCTGCATAAAAAATTATGCAGGAAATCAAAGGTTTGCAGATCATTGACACAGATGATCTCCAAGCAAGGGAGGGACAAGATATCATTCTCTTGGATGGATCTTATATTGCACAATAAAAATAGCAGCAGGAGTTTGGAAAATCACAACTAGCCAAGGGATGATTTTGCAAATCAAATCCAGGAAACTGACAACTCTTTCAACCCTCCAAGTAGAGGCCACAACGTTGCTCCTAGCTTTACAGGAGGCTATAAAATTAGACCAACACATTCAAGTTCACACAGATTGTGAATTCTTAGCCAAACCCTGCTTTCTGGCCAATGGAAGTACATGAAATAATCGCTACAATAAATAGGTTGTTAAATTGTTTAACTACGTATGTAGAAGATAAAGTATCTAGTTTATAGACTAGCTAATTGTAATAGTGCATGTTTACCTTCTAATATATGATTAACATGTACCTTTTTTTTATTTAAAAAAAGAGAAGTTAAGATAGATTCTTTCATCTTTTGAGGTTTTAAGGTTGGATTTGAAACCTTTTCTTGTGACAAGCTTTATACATGCAAACATTCTATCAATTTATCACGTGATGTGATGCGTAACGAATAGGATGAAACCAAGTCGGCCTAACTGGAAATAAAATTGATGAACAAAGTGACAAAATTGATACACGATACAAAAAATATGATAGAGTATTTTTTTTTTTTTGGAAAAAAAATGATATTCCGACTTTAACTTAAAATAGAATTCGATCAATCACCGTGGCTTGGTGGAGTAGTACGTTGTAAATGAGAATGATTGTAATATTTTGTACAAATGTTTAAATTTTTACATTTCACTCAATCCGACCATTATTATGATCGAACCCTAGCTAGCTATATATGTGATAATATCATTACTTTTCTACCAGAGAAAGGTTACACTAGTATGCTATTGGAGAATCTTTTTTCTAGCACAATTCAAACAAAAGTTAGGATAGATTCTTTCATTTTTTGAGGTTTTGAGGTTGGATTTGAAACCTTTTATTGTGACAAGCTTTATAAATGCAAACATTCTATCAATATATCACATGATGTGATGCGTAATGAAAGAGGATGATACCAAGTAGGCCAAATTGCAAATAAAATTGATGAACAAAGTGACAAATTGATACACTACAAAGTAGTGTAAAATGCAACAAAATTTTGCATGCACGATTGTGATCATTTTGTGATTACAAAAAATGCGCATGGAGGGCTTTCTCCTTCCTGATTGGAATAAACGTACCCTGGTCCCTCAGCACTTCAGAAGAATTTTGGTGGTATTCATATGGATTATTAAGGGATTCGAAAAAAAAAGGTTGGGGTTTCAGAAGAAAAAGAGATTTTGAAGGTAACAAACTTACTACGCCATTTAACTATTTATTATACGATTCTACTCATATCATTTTGTTTTTCATAGCTTGCAATCGATTTATTTCATTTTAACTATTGAATAAAGATATTGATTGTTAGAAAAAAAAAATAAACTCTAGATATTATTCAATTTTTTTATTTACTCTGTTAAGTCGGTACAAAATAATTAATAAAAAATCAATACGTTACAGGAAAAGCAACTATAGTTTATATGTTTGTATCTTTAATGATATAAATAAACGTGTATCAAAATTGAAAGGAGGTAACTCTAATAAGTATTTTCAATCAGTTAAAAACATTTTTTTAAAAAAAGTTAGATACAACGGTTACATAGAATAATTTATTTTTATAGATAAAATAAAAATGAAAAATTAAATAGTAAGAGGTGTACAAAACGAAATCGAAGTGGAGAAGTAAATGGGGGAAAAAGAAAAGGTAAGGCCCGATTAGTCAACTGTCAGGTCATGGAAAACAGAATACTATATAAGAGAGAGTAGTGGGGCCCAAGGCTGGAGTGGGACCAATTTTGAATTTGTTAAAAAAGTGGATTAAAAAAACGCGCACTGTATAAAAGCCCTCCTGATATTCAAAAATTTATTCGACGAGTTTCCCATTTTCAGCGTCTGCGCTCTCTGCAATACGACGATAAAACCGTCATCGCTTTCTCCTCCCAAAAAAGGTAACAACCCTAATCCCTTCCGTCTTTTTATCCTACCTGCTTTTCGCCAATCCGAATCATTTCTCTCTCTCTCTCTCTCTATCTCTCTATATGTTTTTCTTCCTTTTATTTCGAGGAAAGGAGAGTTTCGCCTGAATTCAGTGATGAATTTTTGGGTTATCGGATGAAGGATTTTGAATTTCTTTTAGTATTTTTTCTGTTCAATTTTGGTGTTCGTAAACTGGTGCTTGGAGCTGATTAACTTATGTTGAGTAACAGAGGTGGTTGTTTTTATCTTGGTACTGGAGGTCTTAGATACTGACTTAGTTCTGTTCCTGCTCTCAATCTCGTGTTGTTACGATTTCTGTAGTTTCTTCGTTCTTTTTTTCTTAAACTTCTGTGATTTATGGAATAATTACACTGATTATGTTCACTTATGGTCTTCATAATCATTTATGTTTGTGACGCACTGGTTCAATTTGATTATTAGTAGCAGTTAGGTTTCAAATTTATTTTTATCACGGAGTATTATTCTTTTAGTTGGTTTAATAGGCTACGTCTACAGATCAGATGCTCAAATTCAAGGTTCTTTTTGTCCACGCTTTGGTTTTCTGGTTGAAGGATGTCTTAATTTGTCTGAAGTAGAACTGTTCACTTTTAGCTCTTTTTTCCTTCCGGTATATGTTAAACTTTGAATTGATGAAGAAACTTAAGTGTGATATCCGGAGAGTATTGAGTTAAGTGTAAACAAATTTTTGCATTTATTTGTGATACTACCTATCTTATTTCTGATCCTTATAGCTACTCGTGAAATATTGAACTTCTGAGAAAGTAAATATTGTTATCAGTCTGAGTAGCATTTTAACACCATGATTAGTTTAAGAATCCTATGTTGACGTGCCACTTTACACGGCTTTCACCTCTGATGTTTCAGAATCGTTGATTTGGAAAGTCTAAACCAAAAGTAATGGAATCGAATGGTAAGGAAGATCTCAAGGCTGCACTTCTGCAGCATCCCAATGGTGTTGCTGCTTATACAAAAAGCACGGGAGATGGTGCAAACATCAGAACGCTTGTTTTCAACATACATGGGATGACTTGTTCCTCTTGCTCAACTTCCATAGAATCTGCTCTAACGAAGCTGGAAGGAATAAAGAGTGTTATGGTTTCACCACTCCAAGCGCAGGCTGTAGTCAAGTATGATCCACAATTAATCACTGTGAGTGAAGTAGGGTTGCATAATCAATGCTTTATTGTATAACTGACCTACTTGAACTTGTTTTATTAAACTGCCGAGATTAACCTACTTCAAAACTTTTGGTGTTCTTTTCTGCAACAAATTGTATTAGTTGGCTTAGCGAATTTTAACTTGACCAATTTCTTCTAGCAAGTAGTAATCGAAGTCTTCAGTTTCTATTTTCCCATCAAATTCCATGAGCTTATCATCCCTTCAATTTGGAGGAGCTAAATCAAAATTCGGTTGACCTATTATAGAATTATGTTTCTGTTTTACTACCATAAGGCTATGAATTATGGTCAATACTGGTAGTAGCAGGTGTTAAAGATTTGATTCTCAGCTTAATTATTTATAGAAGACAAAAAATGCTTCAAAATAGTTCTATCTATAACAGATCATATATCTCTCTACAATATCCTGACAGGCAAAAGAAGTGCATATTGGGGGTTGGCACTGGCGTGGTGATCCCAATATAGTTTAATGGTTTTTCTCATTTGCGTTATCTGTTTCAGGTGAAGAAGATACAGGAAGCAGTTGAAGAGACAGGTTTTGAAGCTGATGGGTTTCCAGAGCAAGAAATTGCAATATGCAGACTCAGAATCAAGGGGATGGCATGCACAAGCTGTTCTGAGTCCGTTGAACGTGCACTTTTGATGGTTGATGGAGTAAGAAAAGCAGTGGTTGGTTTGGCTCTTGAGGAAGCAAAAGTTCACTATGATCCAAGTATTACCAACACTGCCATTATAGTTGAAGCAGTTGAAGACTCAGGTTTTGGAGCGGATCTTATTAGCTCAGGCAGTGATGTGAATAAGTTGCATCTGAAACTAGAAGGTGTTAAATCACGCGATGATTTTAGTGTCATTAGATGCTCAGTGGAGGGTTTGGAAGGGATAAATCACGTTGAGATGGACCTTGAAGAACATAATGTCATCATCACGTATGAACCAGATATCATTGGTCCACGATCTATTATAAGGTGTATACAAGAAGCTGGAAAAGGGTCAAGCTCATATCAGGCCAGTCTCTTCACTCCACCAAGACCACAGGATATGGAGCGAAGACATGAAATCCATATATACAGGAATCAGTTTCTTTGGAGCTGTTTATTTTCTATTCCAATTTTCATTTCATCAATGGTACTCCCTATGATTCCTCCTTATGGCAAGTGGTTAGACTATAAGGTCTTGAATATGCTGGATTTTGGAATGCTTCTGAGATGGATCCTTTGCACTCCAGTGCAATTTATTATAGGCCGAAGGTATAAGGTCTTTCAGTTTTTTTTGTTAAAGTGTAATTGGATGCCACAGAATTACCACTTCTTATGTACCTAAATCAGAATGTTCCACCTGAACCTCATAACCTCTTAGCTTTAATTTTGTTTTCAGGTTCTACTCGGGATCATATCATGCACTGCGGCGGAAATCCGCAAATATGGATGTTCTGGTAGCATTGGGCACCAACGCGGCTTACTTTTATTCTATCTATATTATGATGAAAGCACTTACTTCAGAGCTCTTCGAGGGTCAAGATTTCTTTGAGACAAGTGCCATGTTGATATCATTTATTTCGTTGGGAAAGTACTTGGAAGTCCTTGCAAAAGGAAAGACATCAGATGCTTTGGCAAAGTTGACAGACCTCGCACCAGAAACAGCTCACCTTCTAACACTGGATGATGAAGGAAATGCTATTTCAGAAACGGAAATCAGCACTCAGTTGATTCAAAAGGATGATATCCTTAAGATTGTTCCTGGGGCAAAAGTTCCGGTTGATGGTATAATTGTTGATGGCCAGAGTTTTGTGAACGAGAGTATGATTACTGGAGAAGCAACTCCAGTCGCTAAAGGGCCTGGTGATAAGGTAAAGAATTTGTTCTTTGCAGATTGCAACCTTAACTTTTATACATGCTTGACGTTGATGTCTGGTTAATCTTTTATCCATGTAGGTAATTGGTGGGACCGTAAATGAAAATGGTTGTGTTGTCATTCGGGCCACACATGTTGGATCTGAGACTGCACTTTCACAAATTGTTCAATTGGTTGAAGCAGCTCAGCTTGCTAGAGCTCCCGTGCAGAAGCTAGCTGATCAGATATCCAGATTTTTTGTTCCCACTGTGAGTCATTTTTACTGTTTCTACTAAATCATGTTTTACACTGAGAGAAACCTTCAAACATCATTGTAACTCTTACCTCTGTCTGAATTATTATATTTCTATTGGCTAGAACCAGATGTGGCCAACTGAAAGTATGAAATTTTGTTTACTACTTGTCATTAGGTGGGGTAAGCTAGAAGTTGTGTGCGCTAGCAATTTCAAATAGCAGTGTGCTGCATTGCATCACATCTCAGTTCTTGTATGTCGAGAAAGATTGACTGTGTGTCTGACATCTATGGATTCGTTGTTTATCTGTTTGAAGTTTGATCACTGCCACTCCTGTCTGACTTTGAGGTCTGAATCTTGAGTTTGGCGGAGTTGCTGTTATTTATTTGAATCTTGTTTTTGCTTAGTTCAATTTATATGGTTCGGTACCAAAACAGAGAACTTATGGTTTAAGTACAACAAAATAGTCTATTCCATGTGCTAGAACCAAGCATTATACAAATTAAAGTCGCTGTCATATTTTTACTAATGTACTGATGTTTCTGGAACGTATTTTGTGGCTGAAGTTATGAGACTTCAGAGCTCTCACTAAAGCTTGATTTTTTGTGAACTGTCAATAATGCATATACATTTGCTCCACAGAGATTTGTTTATTTTACATAGTGATATGTTTACTTTACCTGAAGCTGAGTTATTATTTTACCTATGAGCTTGGATATTATTTGAGTGAATCTTGGCTAACTGAGAGGTCTGGACTTGAAACTTTTTTCTATATATTCATTTCCTAAATGAAGTTTTCACGGAAAATTGGTTTGTATTCTCGAACTTACAGGTTGTTATGGCTGCATTTATCACCTTTCTAGGATGGTTTGTATTTGGAGAAGCAGGTACTTATCCGAAGTCATGGATACCAAAAGCTATGGATGCTTTTGAGCTTGCATTACAGTTTGGAATTTCAGTCTTGGTTGTTGCCTGTCCTTGTGCTTTGGGGTTGGCAACTCCCACAGCGGTAATGGTGGCCACAGGGAAGGGAGCCTCCCAAGGGGTACTGATTAAAGGAGGGGATGCATTAGAAAAGGCACATAAGGTATGGTACTATGAGCATGAAGTTCTTAATCATTGTTGTTTGCAGCCAAGATTTTGCCTAGAATATTTGCTGCTTGGTGCGTTAGAAACTGAAATTATTAGTTATGGTTTTTTCCTGAATCTGATGCAGGATATTTAATTACAATGCTAGAACTAGACTAATGTAATAGTTATCATCAACTTATGGTTCATTAAGATCATAGATTTGCTGTACAGTGGATTTGCACTGATAGGTTCGTCAAGAGGATGCTTTCAGATTTTGTTTTGACGTAGCTATGAACACAAGCCTAGCTTGAAGTGTGTATATTGGGATATTAAACAGGAAACTTTATGGATGGAATTGCTCTTAGAAACTAGATGAGAAGGAAGAGTAGAGGAGGATGCGAGGGAAAAGCAAGGGAGGCCACAGCCTTCTTGTTAACAGAAAGTATATCACCTAGACAACTCTTCATAATATAGCTGCCCAAAGGTCACTGAAAAAGCCTTTATCGCATAAGTTAATTTTCAGACAAAAACCTTCGCCAGTTTTGATGACAATGACAGCCCCTGGCTGCAGATAAGTCAATGATTAACAGTCAGGCTTGGAAAGGAAATCTGCTTGAATTTAGTTAATATTGTCTTTGATGTACTTATTTATGAACATCTCTTTCAAATCTACGTTCATATATTCCTTTCTCTCACATATTTGCTAATCTAGTTCTTTACCATTAATGTTTGTAATTTGTATTGCATTGTAGGTCCAGACGGTGATTTTTGATAAAACTGGAACATTAACTCTGGGAAAGCCTTCTGTTGTCAGTGCTGTCCTTTTCTCCAAGATTTCTATGGAAGAGTTCTGTGACTCGACAATTGCTGCTGAGGTGAGCTTATAAGTTTAATGGATTCAGTGGCAACCCGACTTCAATTATCGTGTTTTTATTGCTAAAATAGGATTCTTTAGCTACCTAAAACATTGGGAAATTTTATTACATAACTCCAAATCTGTTACTAATTCCAGATATCTGCAGGCCAATAGTGAGCACCCCATTGGTAAAGCAGTTGTTGATTATGCCAAGAAGTTTTTGAATACTGCTGAGAAAGAGCATCAGACAGAAGTAAAAGACTTTGAGGTTCATACTGGTGCTGGTGTGAGTGGAAAAGTTCGAGACAAAACTATTCTGGTTGGTAATAGGAGACTCATGAGGGAGTTTAAGGTTTCTCTTGGTCCGGAAGTTGAGACTTATATCTCAGAAAATGAGAAGCTTGCTCGTAGTTGTGTGATAGTAGCAGTTGATGGTACAGTTGCAGGAGCTTTCGCCGTCACTGACCCAGTGAAACCCGAGGCTGCACGTGTTATATCTTTTCTAAATTCAATGAACATCTCAAGTGTTATGGTTACTGGTGATAACTGGGCTACAGCAACTGCTATAGGAAAGGAAGTTGGAATTCAGACAGTGTTTGCCGAGACGGATCCGTCAGGAAAAGCAGATAAGATAAAAGAATTGCAGGTAAGTCAAACCTGATTGAAACAGCTTTCATTAGGTTGATACTGAATGAGATAGTTACAAGAATTTGGTTTGATATTTACTATTTTTGAATCTTGTTGCAGTTGAAAGGTACAACTGTGGCAATGGTAGGGGATGGGATTAATGATTCACCAGCACTTGTTGCAGCTGATGTTGGTATGGCGATTGGTGCGGGAACAGATGTGGCCATAGAAGCAGCTGACATAGTCCTCATGAAAAGCAACCTTGAAGATGTTATCACAGCAATAGACCTGTCAAGAAAGACAATGCAGCGTATACGGCTCAATTATGTTTGGGCTCTGGGGTATAATGTACTTGGCATGCCTGTCGCTGCTGGAATTCTGTTCCCGTTTACCGGCATCCGTTTGCCGCCTTGGCTTGCTGGTGCTTGCATGGCTGCTTCATCCGTCAGTGTGGTTTGCTCGTCATTACTACTTCAATCTTACAAGAAACCTCTACACGTTCAATCCGCGTTGTAGCTAGCAACTTTTCTGACATCGATTTGGTTCAAGTTATAGGGTGGAAGCTGGGGGTTACAAGAGCAAAGAAGACGCAAGGTTGTAAAATAGCATTTAATTCAAAAGTCTGAATTTAGTCTCGAAAACATGATTTGTTGAAACTTGATACTTGAAAATAATCGCTTTCACCTAATTGTTGCTAATAGTACGTACTCCATGCGATTAGAAATGAAAATTGAAACTAATTCTTGTTACTAAAAGTAAACTCTAATCAAAGAATATTTTGGTAAGGTAGTACTTTGAGTTTATACAGTAAAACATCGATAAATTAATAACATCAAATTAATAACATTGATAAATTAATAATTTTCTCCGGTCTCAAGTCGGGAACACCCCTCTCTCGTGTAAAAGCGATTAGAATTCGAACACGCTGCGTTTTACTGGGAAGGATCGACCTATGGGAACGAATCTACAGGGCTATCACCTTATTTGGCCAAATCTTCAAATCTTTTCACAATTACAGTCCACTGCGCTTTCTTTACTATAAAGTAAAGAAAGGCTTGAAAGCTTACTTTCTTATTCGTAGAGAAAGGTTTGGAACCGTAGTTTTAGAGTTTTCGTCCCAACCTACTAGGGGTCGTTAGACTGTAGCTTGCTGCTAAAAAATGTAATAGGCGAGCGCAGCTCGCTTCGCTCTTCAAGTTCCGCCCCCCTTACTCAACCTCTCTTTCTATAAAAAAGCCCTTTCTCCTTTTCATAATAATAAGAAGGTAAGCTTTGAAGCCGTGACTTGCTGGGTTTTCCATCATCCAATCTACAAAAAAATCGAATGAAACCTGACGAAAAAGAAGTAAACACTTTGCTGAGGAACGAAGCTTCGTGTTTGTTTTTCTTCAAATCCCCAATCCGCTTTTGCTCGCCGCTACTAACGGGGTCTTGGTTGATTTCCCTTCCTTTAGCTACAAAAGGAAGGTCCAGTCTTGATAATAAATCTAGAGGGGACTGATACAAATCCAATCTGACCTGGAGTGAGTGGATATAGTTGATGTATTCTGGCCAGACGGCTCCCCAAAAAAGTCGTGTCGGTTTCTTATTAAAAGAAAATTGATTTCTGACAATATGGCTATAGCCATTTCTAAAAAAACAAAGACAATTGATAAAATAATGAAATAATAATTTTTTTAAAAATTCCTATGTAAATATAGGTCCCGTCAATATCATAAATTAATAATAACTTGAAAAAAAATGAGCTAGTAAAAATATGAATTTAGTGATGTTTTTTTTTGTTTTTTTGAAATTTATATATAAAGAAATTGTAGATGTTATGATTTTTTTGAACGATGTATGAAGCCATTGATGAGAGTTTAAACATTTTCTAAAAAATGGTCAAATTTTTTTTAATAGAGGCATATTACAGAGATTGAGTAGATAATAAAATTTAAGATAATGGTGGAGTCTAAATTCTAATGTATAGGGATTATAAGAGAATAAAATAATATAAATCTTATATTAATGAGCTTAATAAAAGATTAATAGGATTCTTAGGAATTCTCTTTAAATTAATAGTATTATTAGTTTATCGATAAATTAACAATTATTAATTTATTGATAAATTAATAATTATTAATTTATCGATAAATTAATACATCGATAAATTAATAATTTTTAGAGTGATATATGTTTAACTGCATATTTCTAATCCTGATATGAATTACAGTAAACCATGTGTAGTGAATTACAGCAACTTTTTGTCATCTAAGAAATTGGTTTGGTAAGTAAACCATACCAATACTTTCTTCGACATAAATTTTGTCCAAATGTAAAAAACAATTTGTAGGCTTTTATTTATGACTTTTTATTGGAATTTTGATTTTATGATTTAGTAGTTTCATTACCGCATGTTGTGCGGATTTTTTCAATTTCTTGTCCCAAATTTTAAATATTTTAATTTTGCCGAAAGTGATTTTTTTAATAAAAACAGTATAGGTGTTAATTAGGGTTTTAAATTAAGTGGATAATTAAAAATTAACTTGGGCATTGCTATTTGCAGTTATAAGAATTACTCATTTGCAGTCGTTTGAACATTTTTGCCCCTGAGTACTACAAACAGTACTAAACACATAGTTTCAAATTATTTCTTTCTCTTCTTCTTCTTCAACTCTCAAAGAAAAAAACCCAAAAATTACAATGTCAAACTCAGATATACAATAATTTGGAGGTTAAAAAAATGGCGGAACAAGGGAATCAAGTACCGGAAGGCTCGGCCTCAAATTTAGTATGTTTTTTTTTCTTGCTAAAATTCATTGAATATTATGAAAAAAAAAAAAACCGTTCTGGACAGGGGTAGCCGGCGGCAAACCAGCTACCTCAGCTACCTCTTGAGAGCTAGCCGGTTCGACTACCCTTTAAGACCGGCTCCTTCGGCTTAGCTAGCCAGTTTTGACTCGGCTAGCTCTCAAGGGGTAGCCGGTTTGCCGTCGGCTACCCCTGAGCAATTTTTTTTCTTTATTTTTTTTAATTTTTTTTATGTTATATTCATTTTAGTTATTATTAATATTTTTTAATAATTAGTTTGTTTGAATGAATAGTATCAATCTTTATTGTTTAGATTTTTTTATTTAATTGAAAAAAATAAATATTATTAATAATGATTGTTTATGTAAATTAAATTTTTTGTAGTGGTAATTACATCTTTGTGTTGTATTTATTAATAATAATTGTTAGTGTGTAATAAATGTAATTTAATTTAAATTATATTTTTTATGTAAATGAAAGTTAATATAGTGTTAATTGTCATGTTAATTGACAATCATGTAAGGTAATTAAATTTAAATTATAAATTGTTCACTAGGTGTATTTTACATAATTTAATATACTTAATTTTGTAGTTATTTTTTTATGTATATATTTAAGTTTGTTAAATTGATTATGTTTCATTACAAGATTATGGTGGTGATGGTATTGACTATAGTTCTTATTTCAAGACTCGCATTAGATTCGGTACTCTTGATGATGCTGTAGAATAGGCGAGACAGACTGTGAAATCTCTTGGTTTTGAAGTTGTTATTGCGTCAAGGAGAAGTGAGACGTCAAAATTATTGAGATGTGTAAAGGGTATTCCCCAAGAGAGATGGAGAATAAGGTGCGAGGTACGAAGTTGCAATGTTGTGGATGCCAGTTCCAGCTTATAGCCAAAATGCGGGATGCTGGTACTTCATTTGGCATTCGTACTGTACCAGGTCCTAAGGTTACATAACCACTCGTTTGGTACATTTAAGGAGGGACAAAGGCAGATGAGCGGGATGAGCAATAAATCGAAGGAGATTGTTAGGGACATGTCCAGGTATGGAGGAAAACCGGCTGCAATGGTGAAGCGAATTAATGTTGAATGCCCTGACGACTACGTTGTCCCCAAACAGGTATACAACTACAAGAGTAAGTTGCGATTGGACAGCTTCAAGGATAGAATTTTGGTGGAGCAGTTTTTTTACGTAGCTAAGGAACAAACGGCTATGTGATTTTTACATATCATGATTCGGGTGTGTTGAGTAATATTTTATTGGCACATCCAGTATCTGTACAGATGCTTAGAGTCTACAGGTGGTATATTGGTATGGATACTACTAACGGAACAAACAAGTATAAGATGCCACCGTTCCAAACGATTAGGATGACTCCAACCAATAAGACTTGATTGCATATGCAATTATGAAGGATGAAACGAGTACGAGTTATGATTGGGTGATGGAGCAGTTACGAAATTTGATTAGGTGGGAGGTGCATCCTACGGCCATAGTGACAAGCAGGGAGTTGGGACTGGTAGTTCTAATCAGTAAGTGGTTTCCAGAGTCTACACATCTTCTGTGCGTGTGGCACATCGACAGATGTGTCGTGGCACACGCGAATAGTTATTTTGGTAGCGAATTTGCAATTTGGTGGATGAAAAATGTATTCAGAGAGATACTTCTAGCTCCTACTCAGTACAAACATGCAATGGCTGTATTAGGGATGAAGGCGTACATGCACTCAAATGCTAAAAGTTATGAAGAGTTGGTGAAGTATGTCGAGGACACTTGGTTAGTTCACAAGAAGAAGTGGGCTCATGTGTGGACAAATGAGGTGACACACTTGGGGAACACAAGTAATTGTAGGGTGGAGGCCGCTCATAGTGCCTTGAAGCAGTTTCTTGAGACGTCGGACCTGCAACTAGATACAATGTGGATCAAAATCCACAATGGGATCGAGCATGCTTTCACTGAGATCAGGTACATTATATTATTGTGTTTTTTATTTCACTTCGTATTACTAATAGTATTACCAATAGTAATAGATTAACAATGAGGAATTTTAATTGCAGGTTCAGTCTAGAGTTGTCGATGAGACGTTCGAATCGATCCCACCTTCAGTTCCCCTATGATCGTATAGTTAAACGTGTCTCACATTATTGCCAGGAAATCCTTGATAGGGAGTTTGCTCGCATGCATGAACTGGGTGAAAATGTTTACCAGAGTTGTGGTTGTGTGTTGAAAAAGACTCTCCCTTGTGCGTGCGAGCTAAGACGGATACTTGATGAGCGGTTGCCCCTTGAAGTAGCCGACATCCACCCTTTTTCGAGCATACTAGATTATAGGAGAAACATGCTTGATTCGGCTCCTGATGATGATGATTCTGATGATGATGTTGATTTTGCTAATGATGAAACAGATGAACAAAAGATTTTTTTAAGTCTTGCGGATGTGGTGTGTAACAAGGAATCTGCTGTTTTGAGGCGCATCAATGCGTTCCTGCATCATGTAAATGACTATGAGCATATGGCTACGAGCAACCAAAGGTGAAGAACTGTGTGAAAGGTTGTCCGAAACTCAAGAAGCGGATCCCTTGTTTTTGGGAGAAGCGTAAGACAGGAAATAGGTAATCTCGTATGAGTACTTCATCATAGAAGGACACGCCTTCTGGATCCTTGCATACATTAACATTGATATGACTTGGCTAATAACAGTGTTGTTGGATTGGATAACATGTATCAGGATAGGATAGCAGAGTGGAACCGCCTATGTCCATTTAGTCAGTAGCTGACTTTGCCATCAAAAGAATTTGTTTTAATTTGCTAAATCGAGTTATTTAAATTTTATTTGTTTTAGAGCAAATGACTTGATGACATATATCCAATAAAACACACATCACTTTGCCAAATAAAAATCCAATAAGCAACACATAATATCCTAATTAAACACACTCCACTTTGTCAAATA